TCTAACAAGATAAAATTAATTATAAGTAAATATGATTCCGCTTTATTCTTACATGTAGCTTTAAGCCTTTTGAAGTGAGTTACTAGAAAGGACTCTGAGCTCGAAGATCCAAATGAGAAAAACGTACCCTCGGTTGAATTAATGAACCGTTCTCACCAAAGGGATTAATCAGAGACATAATAGGGGCTAAATTGATTAAGAAAGTGCACTTTTATGAATAACATGGTCCTATTGATTTCAATTGTCCTCAAAGTGTGATTGGGTAATGAATTAACAATGAAGTTATATAAAACCCACACTAGATGGACCATTTTACCTTCCTTATGTTTGCTGTGTTTTAGCTAGTTTGGAACATTTGTATTTTCTGAACCCAAGGTGTGTCACAAACTGTGAAGGTTGAGTTACCGCAGCCATCATTGATTTACATGACATGGTACATGGTAGTACAGTATGGGACATTGAGCAAGAAAAATGTTCTCTAAGTTTATATTGGATTGTTAAAAATATTCTTTATGTGATGACCTAAGCATAAAGTTGTTAAATCTGATGTAAATTTGGAGTTTTAAGTGTATAATGTTTTAGTCTATATAACATATCTTTGCCTCAAGCAGAGGAGTTCGTTTTCAGGTGTCTTGTTCATGAGTGATGGTAGGATGGGGTGAGAGATGGGTCAACTGATCAGAGCCTCGCTCACAGTAATGGTGAGCTGTTCTAGGCTATCAAGGTAAAGAGAGAGCTAAGCTGTAAAAGGCAAAGCTTTCAATTTAATGGTCCATCTACATTACAACCTTCACTTACAGTCATAAGTTATGGGTCATGACTGAATCAATGAGATTCTGGGTACAAGTGGTTTAAACGAGCTTCCTTTGTTGGGTGGGCAGGGTCAGCCTTAGAGCTCTGAGAAGCTCTGTCATCTGGGGGGGGAGCTTGGAGTAGAGCCTCTGCTTCTTCTCATCGAAAGTAGTCTGCTGAGGTTGTTTAAACATATGATTAGTATCCTTCTTGGTTTCCCTCCTTCTGGAGGCTTTCCAGGAACATCTCACCAGGGAGAGACTCTGGTACAGACTCAGTAATTATTTGATGGGTTTTTTAAATTCTCTCTAGCTTGGGAGTACCTTGGGATTCCCCAGGAGGATCTAGAATGTGTCGCTGGAGAAAGGGACATTTGGATTTCCCTCTAGGACCTGTTGTCCCTGTGACCTGTCCACACATAATGAAAGGACATGAATGAGTAGATATTCACTACATTACTTTTCCTGCAAGATAATAAAACTGCTTTTCTTTTCACCAATTAAGTGCTTTATGAATAGTAAGTAAACTCAAAAGAACAAAGGAACTTCATATCTTGTTAAAAAGCAGTCATATTTAGCTTTTTGAAAGTTTTCCCCACTGCTTCAGTAAGTTAAACAGCATTTTGTGCATTAAACATAGTTGGAAAACATGTACACCAAAAGTTATTTTTCCCCCTTACAAAAGGTGCATCTTTTGATCTTCTCAGGGGCATCTTGTTTGCAGTCCAGGCTGATAAGAGATGCATTTACATTGCTACCATCAAGGCCTAAATGACACACCCTTAAAAACTGTAATGCTAAGTTGCCTTTTGCTCCACTATTTACTGTATGACTGCAAAGCTTCTCAGTTAAAGCATAAAGGACCTTTTGAAATGGTGGCCATAAAAGGATGAGCACTAAAATGAAACCCTTTTAGACAGAAGGTCACAAGTTGCTGAGCAATGTGCAATGTGTTTATCCCTGTCACTGTTCCACTGAATCAGTTTTCAACTAAGCCCTCCCTTCTTTTGCCTGTCTGTCTGTTGATTCATCTACCTGTGATCAGACGTGTGAAATTATGTCACGTTTTTGGTCTTCCAGGGTATTTTATGTTCTTCAAAACAAAAAAAGGTCACTAAGCCAATCAGAAGATCTTTTAAATCTCTAAGCAGAACTGAGTATCTTGAATCTTTTTTTTTTGTTTGTGTGTAGGTGGAGCATAATGTACTTTACACTCAAGACAGCCGGCTAAAGGAGAGAAGCAAAATGCAAATTAAAAGAAACTAGTAGAAAATCAAAAGTAAGAATAGATTCAGTCTCAGTCAGACACTCTTGAGTACCCTTTCCTAACTTTATTATGTAATTCTGATAGTCACTGTACATTCTAAGAGCAACCTTTTTCCCATCATCACATTACTCTGTCAGATTCACTTGTCACTCACTTGTTTGTAAGTGTGTTCTGTCATTTTACTGTCGTGAAGGTTGGCTTGGTCTCCCATTATTTGGAATTGTTGTCCTTTCAACTGGAGCTTAATTGCCTGTCGGTTATTCCCATACACTTCTCAGTCTCGCTGCTCTGCCCCACTTTCATTCTCTCATTGTCTGTGGCAGCTTAGTGGCTCTTGTGTCAGGCTGCAGTTGCGGAGCAGCAACAGAAACAGCAGTCACATACCTGCATTCAAGTGGAACAAACAGGATGGTTGGTTGCTCACGGAAGGTCATCAGCCCTGGGCACAGTGTAGATGTGTGCGTGACTTTGTGCTTTAACAAGAGATGAAGGGATGTAGTGTCTCTAATGGTTCACTAAGACCCCCTACGACTCCAGTTTACATATTTTTTTCTTCTTCTAATCAGCAGTCTTTTTGCTGTCTAGATTAATCTAAAGCTCACTACTCTTAATGCGTTTTATAAAGGCACAAAGAGAGAAAAATATGAGGGTTTTTGTTCCTACATTAAAGCTGTTGCAGAACCTGCCCTTAGCATTTGAGGTGCACAAATGCAAACTTTGAATACCGTTTCTCCTGTAAGACCTGTATGATTTTGTAAATGCTCTGTAATGTATTTGGGATACATTTAATGAAACACTTTGTTTTCAGTGTTTTATGAAGGACTTGCAGTTGGAAAAGTTAGATTTTTTTTTTTGGGGGGGTGGGTGTCATCTACACGTTTTATAGCTCTGACAGCGGTGCGTCCTTGCGGCTGTACATTGCGACCAAGCTAGAACCCACACACATGCTACCAGTTTACAAGTGCCGCAGTGACGGCCACCAGGCTAATGAATGGTGACACCTAATCTTTGTCATTCCTAATTGGTGCTGCAGGTTTGATTAAAAGCCGAGTCATGTCAGCGTTGTTGCAATGTGGCAAGCATATTTATAACCCAGCGTTGTGTATTCCTGGATTTGTAAGCGTGCTTATCATGTGTGCTTATGGGTGTATATGTTTATTATGCTAATATTGCACACACCTGTCTAATGCTGCAGAAATGAAATCCTGGTTGATCTTGGGCTTTGCGAAGCGTGGCTGCGTTTTTGCTCTTCATTAACCTTGCTTGCCCTCAATCCCCGAATTTCTACCGGTTTACTTTCTATCTTCTTTCCCTGCTTTGCCCCTTTTCTACAGCTTTTTTTTTTTTTCTTTGTTGCAGTTTTAAACTTCAGTTTTGTAATGTAATTTTCTTATTTAGAAATGGCTAGGCAAAACAGACAAAATATATATATTTATTTCTTGTGGCTGTAACCTTTTTGTCTTACAAATGTTATTTTCTAAATGAGTTGTCATTTGCACATGTACACATCAGTGATATGGGACTGTTTTAAGATAAAGCAATGTTTTGTGGAAAAAAGTGTGAAGACAGATTTATAAAGAGTAATACTATGCCATCTAATGAAATTACATTGAGAATACCTTGCAGTTAACGATTGATCTGAACAGATTTAGCTAAATCTTACTGAGCTATCAATGGGAAAAAAAAACTATCTCAGCCTTTTACCTTAAAGTAAACCTATCTTAAACAGACAGCAGAAATAAATGGCATCAAACAACTTGCTGTGGCTCAACAGAAAGTTGGAACATGAAGCACAGCTGCACTTTTGGACTTTTGAGTTCCTCACTCAGCCGCACCTCCTGTTCTACAGTGATTCATCCACAGGGAGTTGATTAGCTTCCTTTAATCCTGAGCATCTTGTGTTCCTACATGTGCTTAATACTATTACGCTATTGAAGTTGTACACAAACACGCAGCATTCTGTCTTAATAACCGCCCACTCGGTGTGCTGCATTTCTTGCACTTTGTAAACACACTCACACACGCACACAACTACTGATGTCCACACTGTTTGATATGTGGCCCAAGGCAAAGCGCTTCTCCCTAATGAGCCTCCTGCCCTCTGTTTTTCCTAGGGAGGTGAGACAGAACTAACCTTGATGCAGCTTAAAAATGATGCAACCTGCTTACTCACATAAACTTGAACTGCTGTGCTTGTGAAAGAATCTCAACGACTACATATTTTACCAAGTTTGTCGTACCCACCAATCCTAAGATCCTAATTTAACCATGTTCAGATATACGTCTGATGCAAGTTCACATTTTAAAATAGCCCCATGTGAAAGTGAGGGAAAACGCTGCAAAACGTCTGCCTTTAGTAAGCGTTTTTTTGGCAGCTCGGAAAGTTGTTGAAACCACAGGTGGTGCTATATTTGAGAAAGATGAAAGATCTGGGTTTGGACCGTGTCAGACAGAAAGTTAGAAAGTTGGTTCAGTGTTGTCAGAGTGTGGGTCTGCACAGTTTTCTTCCCTTCAGTAGTCTCAGGCTCGTTTAATTATAATGTGCAACATGGACAAATAAAAAAAATGCCTTCAGCACATTCAAAATAGAGAAAAAATACTTGAAGACCAGTGTCTCCACATCACTGGTTTGAATCATTTTATGTAGCAGAATATTACAAGGTTTTATCCAAGCACAGTTGTTGTATCTATTGTAGTGTACTATTGTACACACTACTATAATTATTAGTGTACTATTGGTGCTTAGCGTATTTCTTAGTTCATATCTTAGATTTTATTACTGTTTTCTTTACAATTTATTCTTTCGTTGGATGTAACTGGGACCCTGGGTACACAGTTTTGTTCCACCACATGTACCACATATGATAAGAGTGACGATGAATAAACCTTGACCTTGTATTGCAGCAGACTTGTGTAGTCACTGGCCTGTCTTTGTGTTGCAGATCTGGGCCAACTATGAGGAGAAACCAGTGGAGGAGGTTGTGCATGTATCTGAGGAGAAGGAACGCGTGACCAACTACAGACCAGTATATGTGACTGAAATCACCGACACCCTGCACTTCTACGCCCAGGATGTAGAGACAGGTACCTTGAGACTGTCAGTTGGATGAGTGCAAACATGTATTTGTGACAGTTGCAGAAGGAAGAAAACATCATGTGCACACATTGTGTTCTGTTATATAAACGAGATTTTCAACGATAAAACTGCTTCGCTGAAAGCAACTTTAAAGTAGAATCTTCTGATAAAGACAATTTGACAGATAATTCATGGAAATATCAAATCTGACTTCTATTATATGGTTCAGATTGCTGTGTAAATGTGTTTTCCTTCATACACTATTGGTTTATTTATCAAACTCTGCACTAACAATTATTGCTCTTTGTAAAGATGTGAAATGGGTGTTCCAACGTTTTCCCTTTAACACCAAACTGACTTCATGAAAGACAGAAATCTCACTCAGACACTGACTACTCCACTTGTTTCTGCATTTTTTCCACACGGACAAAAAGAACAAACACCCCTCTTGTTCCTACCCATAAATGACTGAAGTATTAAAAATATATAAAGCAGCAAGAGGTATTGTTTGGTATAAACTGGGGGCGTTTGTTTGCCTTAGTATCAAACCTCTTTTGTTTTACTCCAATGGATATTTTCATTTCAGGTTTATTTACTTAGTTGCATTGTACATTTTCAGTTTAACTAAGTCTGTTACCTATAGGTGTAAAATTTTCAACAACAAAAAAAATATATATATTTTTTTTTTTCTCCCCACCTATAGATAGTAACTGACTGTCATGACTGACACTTGATGAGAAACATTAAAAATCTTTTTTTTTTGTCCTTTTTTTTTTTTTTTGTCTTATTAGAATTAGAAACATTCTCAACAGTTTTTAAAGCTGTTTAAAAAATCCTGACATTTTAAGGGTACACTAGTCCCTCATTTATCACGGGTTTATGACGTGTCAGGCTGTAATCACACTCACCTGTCACTCCCAATCTCCCTCCTTAAATAATTAATTTAAATTTAAATACTGTAATATTTTAATTAAACAGTCAATACAGAATTAATTGTTTATTTAAAATATTACAGTATTTAAATTTAAATTGTAGAGAAGAGAAGTGCAGCAGGACATCAGAGGGATGTCACACAGCTTCATCTCTGCAGCACGGAGCAGAAATGTACTTCTTGATCAATTACACTTCAACAACTGAATAAAGAAGTTCTAAAATAATTAAAAATAACTTTTTAACATTTTTATATTTTGTGATTATGATGATTTTTATGATGTGACATACTTTGCATTTTAAGTTGGAAGACAAAAGTCAATCTGGACTGCAAAGGGTTAACCTTCACAACGCTGCAGCAGGAGAAATGTGTGTGGCAGAGAAGGAAATCAGCTGATCTGCTGCAGGACAGCACTTTCTTGCACTTGTGGGCTTCACACATGGTGCAAAATCATTTAAAATAATGTATTTTAAATAAA